AAAAAAAAAGACCCTGGATAAGATGGACTGGTGCAGAGGCTGTACTAAAGGTCTCAAGCACAGTAACAATTGTGAGGACAGTGCAGAATCAGGCAGTGTTTAATTCTATTTTATATTCACAAACTTACTATGTGTTACTTCCAGTCAAAACATTCATACTCAAGGACACTTTGTCACTGAGTTGATTCTGACTCATGGTGACCCAGGAGAACAGACTACAATTGCTTCTCAGTGTTTCTGAGGCTACATAATCTTTACAGCACAGCCCTGGTGACATAGTGGTAAAAATGATTAACTAGCATCCTCATTGTTGGTAGTTCAAACCCACCAGCTGATCTATGAGAGAAAGATGAGGCCATCTACTCCTGCAAAGATTTATCACCTCAGAAATCCCTTAGGGCCATCTTCCTCTAAAGAAGAGGAGGATGGCCCTATTCTAAGACCCTACTTAGAGGGTCACTAGGAAAGTCAGACTTGACACAATTCCAGTGGGTCTAATCTTTATGTGAACATTCTGCCACATCTTTCTCTCATCAATTAGCTACCTAGAGGCATCAGCTACTGAAATATCAATTCGCAGTCAATTGTTTAACCACTGTGTCACCAGGGATATGATTACATATATTCAACTCAAACAAATTCACTGCTGTTGAGTAGAACTCACTTACAGCTGATCCTCCAGTGGTTTTCCAGAAGTTGTAAAATTCATGGGAGTCAATTGCCCACTTTTCTCCCATGAAGCAGTTGGTAGATTTGAACTGTATGCTTCTAAGTTGGCAGCGAGTCTCCTCATGCACTAGGCCACCAGAGTTCCCTTTTATGTATATCGCTATTGTTTTTCCAAATTGAGATGCTGTGTTTACAAAAGCCTGGAACATAATGCAGGTTCAAAAAATACTATGTTCATAACCTTTTCATATTATGATATATTATTATTATTGTGATATAATTCTTCTAAAGGTAGATTCTGTCTATAGTTTGATATAAAGAAATGAAACTTAAATACTTTATTCTCATTTCATATTATTACGAATATTATTAATGCATATTATTATTCCTAAAATGGAATTTGTTAAATTCACAAAAAGGTAAAATTTAATAACCTTTTCCTCCTTTATTTAGTCTTCTTGAAACAGGTGACTGATACTTAAGTCTTTGTCTATTTCAGAGAAACTGCTCTTTAACACCCCATAATCTCCATTCATCAACTCTAACTTGTGTGGAGTGACCAGATTGTTATTTTGTGATATACACGGTTCCTATGAGTTGGAACTGACTCTAAGACAACTAGTAACGATAATAACAAAGAAAGAGAAAGTATGCTAATTACGTAACACAAGAATGTCTGTTCTTAACTAGAACTGCCCCGCCCCCAAGCAGATATATGCACACCCATGTTTATTGCTACTTTGTTCTCAATAGCACAGAGAGGGAAACAATTCAAGGGCTCATCAATAAACAAACGCAAAGAGAAGCTGTGGTATATTCACACAATGGAATATTACGCTGCATTAAAAAAAACAAGGAATTAATGAAATATTATACAAAATGGGTGACCCTGGAGGACTTGATGCTGAGTGAAATATCTCAGTCGCAAAATAGCAAATACTGCGCAGTGCCACTTGTAAAACGGGACTGATGTTGGGGTTGGGGGGAACCCAAGAAAAGAGGGGATAAATAATGTATACTGCATCGAAACAGATGAGGAAGATAATTGTTTCAAAGGAATATATGATTAGGTATTATTTTCATGACAAGAGTCCAGACTAAGAGCTGCATAGTAAAGTGGACTGGGATGGGGGAGGATTATATAGCAATGAAAGAATTTTTTTTCTTTCTTTCTTTTCAAAGAGAAAGGAGAACTGGGAGGGCAGGTGGGCAGGGAGGAAAATGTGCAACAATGTATGAATGGAAATCCAGTTTCTAAGCTTTCATTAAAATGTTAATAAAGAAATTTTGTTGGAAAAAAGAATATCTGTTCTTGTAATAATTGTTGTAGTTAGTGTGTGCTGTCTAATCAGAACTGACTCACAGCTGATCCTCCAGCAGGTTTTCAGAGGCAAGGTGGGAAATAGCTCATTCTTCTCCCATGCTAGTAATTTTGAACCACATCACATGCCTTTGGAATTGCAGCATAGCTTCTTACCACTAGGCCACTAGAGTTCCCTCTTGTAATAATACCAGAAAGTATTTTGATTGTTGTTGCGTGTCATTGAGTCAGAATCAGCTTATAGCTGGACTTCTATTAAGTTTTAGAAGCTGTAAATCCCATGGGAAGAGATTGCCAATCTATCTTCCACAGAACAGCTGGTGGGTTCGACCCACATGGCTTTGGGTTGACAACACAGCTTCTACCATTAGGCCAACTATTTCAGATGAGAGATTCATGAAAAAGATTAAATAGATTCACCCTTCTAGCCTGAATAAAGATGAGTCTGTCAACAAGTATTTGTTGAGATTCATAATAGAATATGAAGAGTATGTTCTTTAGAATCAGACAAACATGGATTTAAACTCTGTCTCTGATCTTTGCAAACTATATGGCATTGATCAAGGTACACAATCACTTTAATTTTCCATTTTCTCAGCTGTTAACTAAGCCTAGAAATAAGTAGTATTGTTGGTTAAATAAGCTGTTGTTGTTGTTATGTGCTGTCAAGTTGATAGTATGTAAAAAATATAATGCCTCATTCACTCCAAGTGCTTAATAAACACCAATTCACTGCAATTGGAACCAACTCATAATTGACCTTCCAGTGGGGTTTCAGGGACTAAATCTACAAAGACAGAGATTAGGGTTTCAGGGACTAAATCTACAAAGAAAGAGATTACCACTATTTCTCCCATGATCCATGCTGCTAGTGGATTCAACCTTCCAAAGAGGCATCACTTTTGGATTAACATGCAACTCCCCATGGACTATGCCACCAGAGCTCCCAAAGTGTTTAATACTCATTCATTTTCTGCCAGAAATATCTCATTTTCTTAACTCTTAAAAAAGTCTTTATCTTTCATTCCAAGCAGATAGGAAAATTTAACTTGTAAAATCCTATGATGTTTCCAGAAGTCAAGAAATAAAAAAAGACATGGTGCGTTGGGAAAATATGTTGTCAAGGGCCTCTCCAAATTGTTTAAGAGCAAAGATGTGAGGTTCAAGTTAGAAGGGTGCACATGATCCAAGTCATGTTTTATTTTATTCCACAGATTGGAGTCTTCAATATGGATTGAAGCTCAACATCAAGAAGGTAAGATTCTCACCACTGGGTCAATTGGCAGCATTATAATAGATGGTGAAGAGATTGAGATTGCTAACAGATTCGACATGCTTGGTTCTACAATCAATACTCTTGGTACCAGCAATCAGGAAATCAAAATACAAATTGCACTTGGGAAAATGTGCTTTCAGAGTACTGCAGAGCCGTGAAGACAGTTTAGGGACTAACGTGCACCTAATCCAGGCCATGGTCTTCACAATAACTTGCTATGCATTAGAGAGCTGGACAATGACTAAAGATGGCAGAAAAAGAATTGGTGCCTTTGAGTTGTGGCATTAAAGAAGAGTACTGAACATACCATGAAACAAGAGAACAAACAGATCTCTCTTGAAGAAGGTGAACCAAGTTTTTCCTTGGAGGCAAGTATTTTGAGATATCACATCCTTTAGGCATGTGGTCAGGAGGACTGGTCCTTGAAGAAGGATATCATGCTTAGAAGGGTCAAGAGACAGCTCAGGAGAGGAAAATACAGGATGAGATAGATTGACACAGTAAATGGTGTAATGGGGGTAGATGTGTTAGAGTAAGCGAAACTGGCCATTGTACATAGAGTTACATGTAGGCTACTCGGTGGCTCATAATAATAACAACAACTGTTTCTATGTATCCGAAAGCCAAGCAATAAGTAAGGATGACAGAAGAGTTGACGGCTTTGAGCTGTGGTGATGGAAAAGAGCGCTGAATATCCCATGGACTGCCAGAAGAACAAACAAGTCTGTCTTGGAGAAAGTGCAACCTTAGAGATAAAGATCTGAAACTTCACCTCATCTACTTTGAACATGTTGTCAGGAAGGTCCAGTCATTGAGAAAATATATCATTCTAGGCAGCTGAATTGTCAAAAAAACAGAAGAAGACCCTCAAGGAAATGGATTGACACAGTGTCTATAACAATGGGCTCAAGAATGTTAGAATTCATGAGAATGCTGTGGGCCAAGACAACATCCTGTTGTTCATAAAGTCATCTGTTATTCACAGCGTCAACTCTATGGCACCTAACAAAAACATGATTGAGAAACAGCAAGATCTTTTTATTGAAGTTAGACTTAAATAATTCATCTTTTATTTAATGTTTCCTGCTCTTTTCTCAGTGACTTAAAAATAAGTGGTCACTATATTCTACAATCCCAAGCGTTGAGGACTCTCCTTCATAGGGTCGCTATGAGTTGTCTGCAACTCGACAGCACTTAACAACAACAACAACAATATTATATAATAAGAATTCTTTTAGTACTAAAAGGCAGCAACTACATAAGTTTTATTCTTCCCTTTCCTAGGTTCCTAGGTCTCATTTTTTAAAGCCACCAAAAACATGCTTTTTATTTCATCAGAACATCCAAATAAGTTCAACTGAGAAAGCGCTTCATGTCACTTTTGTATCTTACATTGTAATTTATGCTTTTATCTTTTTTGGAAAAAAAATATGCTCTATCTCACCCAGAATAATCTGAGAATACTTTGTTTTACACTAAAATATGTATCCTTCCCACCAAATCAATGAAGACAAGAACCTACAAAAGGCTACTCATTTCCCAGATCTTCTTAAGTGTCACTATAAAATCAACTTTGATCTTCAGATAAAGCATTTCCTCTCCTGCAATGAACGCATTGGTTGGTAAACTCTTAAATATATCTTGCTTTAGTGAAAAAAGTATTTAAGATTTTAAAAATCTTTCTTCAGTTTTATCTTTTAAGATTAATATATAAATGCCCTCCACTAAATATGATAGATGTTTCCTGGAGAGACGCATCCCTGGAGAGGATCAAAGTCAAATTGACCCAATACTGAGAGAAATGCACCCAAGAGAGTGAAAGCAGTTATTTTGCAATTTTCTATGCTCTGTGAGGATAGGTTTAATACCAGTAAGGCTGAAAGAAATGATGATTGCAAAGAATAGGGATAGAGGAAAAGGACTGAGAAAGAACACAAAGCAGAATGCAATGAATCTCCCATAAATTATTTCATTTGGGTATCAATCATATTGATTGATATGTACTTGTCACCAATAGGAAAATGAGACTCTCATTCTCTCTAGCCTTGTTTAGCCTACAAATAGCAAAGTAAAACACTGTCATTCAGAAGTCATAAATCTGGCTGGAGAGAGAACTCCACTGACAGTTTCTATGCAGAGCTATTAAAAGGGGAAAAAGATTAACTTCTTGGCATCATCATTGTGTGTCTTCTTTGCCCTATGTTTCTTTGCTGCTCCTAACATTCTTTTCTTCATTGTAGTGTGGGTAAAAGTATACAGATCGCATTAGTTGTCAATTTAACAATTTATATACACTGTTTCATGGCAAGAGTGGTAATTCTCTCAATGAAACAACATTCTTTTATCTTTTTCCTGAGCTCCCCATTTCCACTGGTCCTTTCCCAATCCTGCTTTATGAGTTTTGTTTTTGGATAAATGATGCTCTTTTGGTCTTATAAGATTGATTATTTTGAGAAGTATATGTCTCCTTGGTATTATTATTCACTGTACAGATCTTTTTGGTTGAAAGCTAATACTTGACCAGGGTCTAGTTTCAGATTTATACTATAAGAGCCAGAGTCTCAGGAATCCCATTAGTCTCTATCATACCAGTTAAGTTTGGCCTTTTTATATGTGTTATTTATTATTTTTTAATTTTCCTATGTGTGTTTTTATTCTCTCTCCAGGACTTTTTATTCTGATCTGGATCTAGGCACCATCTAGTTATTCTTGTCTTTATGAAGTAGAGGCTGTGGTTTGTATGATCTATATTAGTCCTTGGCTGCATCAGTATGGGTGGTGAAGAGATTGAGGTAGTTAACAGTTTTAGTTTGCTTGGCTCCACAATTAACGCTCTTAGTACCAGCAGCCAGGATAT